TTACTTGAGAAAACGGTCACAAGGATGGCTGTATAACATGTCAACTGCCATTTTCAAAGACAGATACATACCACACACATGAAATAATCCGGTCACAGTGTAAAACAGAAACATAGTCAGCAGCTGGTTAACACTGAAAGATCTGAGCTGTTGATGTTAGTGTAGTTTCACTTGAACAATATTTCCCTGTCACATGAACCATGTCCCTGCTTGTTGAAACACTAGTGTCGTTATCATTGGGCAGTTGAATATTGAATACTGTGTTGTCATGCGTGCTGGTTCTGTCTACTCGAACGTAAAAAGATATTCACTCACTCACTCAATCACTCTCATATGTACCCGTATTTACTCTCTTGCACTGCACATCAAGATGTAAACGTAACTATTGAGATCACTCCAAGTTTCTTTCTTTAACGTCGCCCTTTGCAATATTCCAGCTATTCCAGTCTGTAAATGATCAGACAATCCAGTGATCAACATCATCAGCATCCATCTTCGCAATTTGGATACGATGACATGTGTCAACCGATCCCGTTAGTCGCCTCTTACGACAAGCATGGGTTGCTGAAAATCAATTCTAACCCGGGCCTCAAAAGAAACCAAACGAGTGTTTGTCAGACTCCATTTATCTTACAACGAGTACAGTAATCTGTTTCTTACAACACCCTAAAATCTCACCACTTTTGGATCAAATCGATGCATATTTCATCGTTTCTCATTGTATCGGCGCATTGATACATAAGCCAACGTTATGAATGAGTGACGTCACTGGACTTACTACACGTACTATGTGTAACCCTCCACACAGAAAAACGTTTCAGTCATTTTTGTGCATTTTCATGATGTAAACAAGATAAGATTAAAGTCAAGTCAAGTCAAATGTTTATTTCCAGTATGAAAGCCCCAGGCCCGTATACAATGCAAAATATATACAGTTTTATATACAATAGATACATTGCAATATTGCCTTAGTTTGCAAAACATAACATTATAGATATACATATAACTCGTCACAATTTAATTCTGGACTCACAAAAGTCCAGAAACTCTCCGCACTGTGGACACTTTCTGACAAGGGATTTGACCAAATCGAACATGCAGTTGTTATGAATACATGCCAAGGATGAAAAAATGAAGACATTTTTTTGGAAAAGTTTAAATTTAAACTCGCTCGCCCATGGGCCTACCCATGGGCGAACAGTGGTCCATGGGCGAACGAGTTTAAGTTGAAAGTTTTTGAAGATTTTTTTGGGCATTTTTTCATCCTTGGCATGTATTCATAACAACTGCATGTTCCATTTGGTCAAATACCTTGTCAGAAAGTGCCCGGAAATTGTGACGAGTTAAATGTATTTTGTATCGAGCTAGTAACATCCGTTTTATTATCTTTAATCTTCCATACAAGATTTACCCGAAACTGGACAAAGGTCATAATAGTAAGGCGAAGACAATGATTATAGCACACTGAAGTACACACTGGGGCACACATAAAGATCCAGTCAAAGTCAGAACACGTACGTGTATGCTCCAGGGGCTCAGTCTGCTACAACACAGCCCAGCATCTTACCAAACTACTAGCACCATTGGGAAAAGAAGGAAACTCCTACAACAGCAATTCATGTACCTTTGTCACAGGTCGCATGGTCAGCGTGTCATGCAGTCTTCTAAATGCCGTTCAAGGACTAAACTATCGGGCAAGAGAAAGTTCCCACTTTTAATGCAATTGCATAAATACCCAAGCAGAAAACATTCGCCCAAATATAACATGGTCCCAATAAAAACGCAGGTGTCCGAAAACTTCGCCCGAATTGTGCATTTTTCAAAACGTGAAAAAAGTAATTGTTGGACACTGGTAAAATGCACGTGCACGATAGTGGCATAAGTAACAATGTTGTGCAGAACAATCATGCGGTAGCCGTTGTGGTAAAACTAAACTGTGATACGTACCTCACTGTTTTACTGTATTTTGTCGACAAATATTCAATTACATGTATAATATCTTCAATCTTTATTTCTTTTGTAGTGGAGGCCATAGGCCTACATTTCAGGATTACAGAGCGATACATACATGTGTATATTTAATGAAAAAGACAATAAGTTCATTTACAAATAATGCGAAAAGTAAATATGATATTATTGGCATAGGACTGAATCTCTAAGATTCATTGAACTGTGTATATAAATAGATAGTTTTTTTACAATATATGGATTGACAATTGACATGACTATATTAGACTTATAGTGGGACTTGAATAGAATTTATACCTAAATTATTCTCATCGCGAAATGGCTGCCCTATTGTCGATCTTATGTAAACTTTTAACTCACTCACTAAAACGGTTGTGTGGCGAACAACTGAATGAAAATGCAACCATTTTGGGGTTTGAACACACGATCATATGTTCCTGGTAAGGTTTACGGAAGGATCAATGCAAGAAGAAGAAAAACAATAATCATAGTAATAAGTTTATTAAGATGTCGCAACACAACATCAGACAACATATAATACAAAGTAAAGCCACTCTTTCTCATCGATACCAAAATATCCGTTCATCTATACCTAGACTCACCTACATAACTACCTGTACACTAACATAAGAACTATTCGCTTTACGATAAGATTATAATATTTAGAAACCTTAGAATGTGTATTAAAACATACTATTACAAATGTCTGTCTAACAGTTATCAATATTAGCCACTATCACACCAGCGAGGCACACAGTCTTACATACATTGTAAGGATGTAAGGATTGTTCGTCTGGAGCTACAAAGACAATGTCACTTGCATAAAGTGACAAAGAAAATATCGCCAGCATAAAGTGACAAAGAAAACATCGTCTGCACATAGTCACAAAGATGACATCGTCTGCATAAAGAGACAAAGAAAATGTCGTCTGCATAAATCGACAAAGAAAATATCGTCTGCACAAAGTGACAAAGAAACTATCATCTGCATAAAGTGACAAAGAAAATATCGTCTGCATAAAGTGACAAAGAATATACCGTCTCCATACAACAACAAAGAAAACATTGTTTGCATAAAACGACACAGAAAATACTGTCTGCATAAAACGACAAAGAAAACATCGTCTGCATACATAACTAACTGTACACTAACATAAGAACTATTTAATTTACAATAAGATTATAATATTTAGAAACCTTAGATTGATTATTAAAACATGCTATTACAAATGTTTGTTTAACAGAAATCAATATTAGCCAATATCACACCAGCTAGGTACACAGTCTTACATACATTGTAAGGATGTAACGATTGTTCGTCTTGAGCTACTTGCATAGAGTGACAAAGAAAATATCGGCGGGATAACGCGACAATGAAAATATCGTCTGCATAACGCGAGAAAGAAAATATCGTCTGCATAAAGTGACAAAGAAAATATTATCTGCATAAAGTGGAAAAGAAAATATCATCTGCATACAACAACAAAGAAAATATCGTCTGCATAAAACGACTAACAAAATTTTGTCTGCATAAAACGACAAAGAAAATTTCGCCTGCATAAAACGACAAAGAAAATATCGTTTGCATTAAAAGACAAAGAAAATATCGTCAGGATAAAGCTGTAAAGAAAATATAGTCAGCCTACAGCGAAAAAGAAAACATCGTCTGCATAAAACTATAAACACAATATCGTCTGTAGAAAGGTACAAAGACAATATCGTCTGCATAAACTGTTGCCTCACTAGAGGCTGCACCCCGTACTGTGGTCCCGTGGTCGTAGTTGAGGACGATGAAGGGTGGAGAGACGTATAGATGAGGAACTGTACCATCAGTTCATGCTCTACTGGTGTCGTGGTCCTCTGCAAAGGAGAATGAAGGGTTCAGAGACGTGTAGATGAGGAACTGTACCGTCAGATTAGGCTTCACCTTGTACAGTGGTACTCTGCGGGTGACGATGAAGGGTGGAGAAACGTGTAGATGACGAACTGTAACGTCAGATCAGGCTTCACCTGGTACTGTGGTCCTCTGTGGGGGACGATGAAGGTTGGAGAGTCGTGTAGATGAGAAACTGTACCGTCAGATTAGACTTCTGTGGAGGACGATGAAGGGTTGAGAGACGTGTAGATGAGGAACAGTATCGTCAGTATAGGCTTCACCTGGTACTGTGGTCCTCGATGGAGGACGATGAAAAGTGGAGAGACGTAGATGAGGAACTGTACCGTCAGTTTTGGCTTCACCTGGTGCTGTGGTCCTCAGTTAGGAAGTTGAAGGGTGGAGAGACGTGTAGATGTGGAACTGTTCCCGTCAGATTAGACTTCTGAGGGGAACGATGAAGGATGGAGTGACGTGTAGATGAGGAACAGTATCGCCAGTATAGGCTTCACCTGGTACTGTGGTTCTCGATGGAGGACGATGAAAAGTGGAGAGACGTAGATGAGGAACTGTACCGTCAGTTTTGGCTTCACCTGGTGCTGTGGTCCTCAGTTAGGAAGTTGACGGGTGGAGAGACGTGAAGATGTGGAACTGTTCCCTCAGGAGTCGCTCGTAATCATGTAGGGGTAAGACATCCCCGTCGTTGTTGGAAGCACAAGGTACACCACTGAAGTCACGGGACAATCTCTCTGCCATCACAGTAAGATATTCTCCACATCTGTAATTACAACATTACACTTACATTGCACATAAAGTTGTCTTGCACAGAAGTTTATGTATGTTGCTCTCATGCAGCGTGGAACAGAAATCATAAATGGATTGGAAATCCAAAAAAAGACAGTAATCATAGATTGCAATCCTCTCTTAACAAATCGTTCATTTGTTACATAGATCCAATTGCTACTTTCTCCGTCATTTCCACATATAAGCTATACAGGCTTCGTTTATTCAGTTAGGGTCTAGTTTTCTGGGGTAAGATGAGTAAATGGTGTTTAACACAGGAGACTGCAACTGGACACATATATGAGGGTTTGTTAACTGGTTAATACCATACCTAACTCCAGCACTTAAGGTCAAAATAAATAATAAACTTATGTACCTTCTGTCCTGGTTTTCTGCAAATAAAGCAAAAGTAAAACTTGTAAATTTCTAAACGGTCGTCCACGTTTCCATTTACTGAATAACAGTTAGTGACTGAGTCGCTCTTAGCACAGTCCATCAATATCACCAAAACCAGAACACCATAAATAGGGCTTCACACATTGTGGGGAATCGAACCTTGGTCTTTGGCGGGAACGCCTTAACCACTTGGCTCCCGACTGCTCAAATTACTGAATCAAAACAGCGTTTACAAAATATAATGGAAAAAAAAAGATTTCAGCATTTGAAGGTGAACTACAGACATGCCTGTTTGCTGTTTAACGCTGCATTCAGCAATATTCCAGCTATATTACGATTGTCTGAAATAATCAAGACTTGACAAGAAAACCCAGTGATTGATATAATGAGCATCGATTGACGAAATTGGGAAACGGGGGTATACATGCATGGCCATAATCAGCCAGCGTTTCTCACCTGTTATGACGAGCTTGCAAATGGGTTGTAGAAGACCAGATCTGACCTGAGGAGGGATTGAAACTTCCATTGCATTCAAAAAGATTCATATATTCATCGTACCTTTTACGTCCTTGCAGACAAGAACAGTAACTGCTGCCACCACAACTGCCACGGTAGTCAGCATAATGGGGTAGACAGCTACGATGGGGACGATGTCGTCGACGTTGTCATCACCTTCTGATATAACACACAGTTAACACATATGTAATTAGTGTGATAATTTATACGAGAACGCAGAGACGTATTTGAATGATAAGAAATGTTCTGTTAATATTCCTTGTTTGTTTTATTCCATATATTGGTTTTAGAACATAAGGAAGAAATAGAGGAAGTTCTGGGGGTTTTTGTGTGTCTTTTTAGAATGAAACTGCGATCCTTTTATAAGCTAAGAGTCCTGTGTACATCGTATTTGAAACATAAAAGATTCGTCGTTAATATTCCTTATTCCTTTCAGTGCCTAGATACTGGTTTGAGGACAATAGGAGGAAATACTATTTGTGTCTACTTTTCAAAGAAACTACGATTCTTTATACGCTACTGGAACCCTGTCTACATCGCATAACGCGACAAAGGAAGCAAGCAATGAAGATGGAAGAATCATTCTTGATGTATGACGAGAAGTATGACTGTTACGGCTGTCCAGGCCAGTGGATCTGTTTCCCCAACATGGCATATCACCGAATCCTGGTTATGTACATGGAAATTAAAACGTGTCATAAGTATTATATATATAATAAAAACGTATTTGACTTAGGAAATGTTTATTTACAGTATATTAACTTTTCTATGATGAGTATTTGAAATCATATAATCGGTATTTTCCATTTCCTCGAAATATTACACCGTAACCTTGACGATTTGACTTATATCCAATGTATACGGGTTTGAGACACGACTCCTATTCCAGGCTTCTGGGCTTCAGGCGGGAGATAGTTCGAGCTACATTCAATCGACATATCAGTACCATACACTCACAGTTCGAGTTTCACAGCCGTTACACATCATGCTTGTAGTTAACCTTTAGACACCAACCTTCTTTTTCCTGGTAGCTCCCTTCGTTTTCGTCTTCCCTGTGATACGAAACCAAGCTGATAAAAATGAGTATTAAACTTGAGTAAAATGAAAGGAAATTATAAAGCTGTGACACCATCTCAATTAACATCGCTCCGAATCGTGCACAGTTTTGCTCTGATAGCTATGTCGTTTGTTTGTTGTTTGACGCCGCACTCAGCAATATTGTCTGGACCAGACAATCCAGTGATCAACAGCATAAGCATCGATCTATGCAATTGGGATACGATGACATGAGTCAACCAAGTCAGCGAGCCTGACCACCGTATCCCTTTTGTCAACTTCATACGACAACCATGGCTTGCTGAGGATCAATTCTATATCGGATCTTCAGCTATGTATCACTGTGTGAGATGAAATATTTATACATCGTACTTGAAGATTCATGAAGATACTCACCGCTGATGAACGTATCCTCTCTCTGAAAGTGACAATGTTCAGCAGTTAATTATGCATACAAACTGCAAGGTTAATCACAGATGACTGCTTTATTGTGCACCGATCACATATCAGTACATGTTTGAATATAGTGCACTGATCTAGCACCGTATACGCGATATATGGACAGCATTCGATACAAGTTTTAATAGAAGGCCAGTCAGTGAGTGAGTGAGTTGGGTTTTCCGCGACTTTTAGCAATGTTACAGCAATCTCAAGGCAGGGGACACAAGAACTGGGCCTGACACATTGATCCCATATCAGTAATCGAACCCGGGCCTTCGGCTTTAACGCTTTAACCACTGAGCTACCCCAACGCCCAAGGTAACTCGGAGCTAATAGTTATGATAGGCCTTTAGTTTTTCTATGTTGACAGCTAAAATTCCAAGACTGTTTAAGGTGCATAACATTGCCCATTTAATAATTCGCTATGGCCTGTTTATCTGAACTAATTCATGTGTCGTTTAAGGGTCTACGATGAAGTACAGCACCAACCTTCTATCTCCTGGTAGCCCCCTTCTGTTTCTTCGTCAAGGATGTATGTGACAACGCTGGGGGGAAAGAAATGTAGAAAGTGGATTGCAAATACTGCCAACTATTTGCGCAATAGCCGTTGAAGGATAGCAGATACTGCCAACTGTTTACCCCATAGCCTGGAAGGATAGCAGATACTGTCAACTGTTTACCCAGTAGCCTTGAAGGATAGCACATACTGCCAACTGTTTACCCAATAACCGTCGCATCTGGATAGCAGATACTGCCAACTGTTTACCCAATAGCCTTGAAGGATAGCAGATACTGCCAACTGTTTACCCAGTAGCCTTGAAGGATAGCACATATTGCCAACTGTTTACCCAATAGCCTTGAAGGATAGCAGACACTGCCAACTGTTTACCCAACAGCCATCGCATCTGGATAGCAGATACTGCCAACTGTTTACCCAGTAGCCTTGAAGGATAGGACATACTGCCAACTGTTTACCCAGTAGCCTTGAAGGATAGCAGATACTGCCAACTGTTTACCCAACAGCCGTCGCATCTGGATAGCAGATACTGCCAACTGTTTACCCAATAGCCTTGAAGGATAGCACATACTGCCAACTGTTTACCCAACAGCCGTACCATCTGGATTGCAGATACTGCCAGGTGTTTACCCAATAGCCTTGAAGGATAGCACATACTGCCAACTGTTTACCCAACAGCCTTGAAAAAGAGCACATACTACTAAGTTTAAATTTACCCATTTGCCTTACCCACTGGATAGCAGATACTCACCGACTATGAATGTCTCCCCTTCCTGAAAGATATAATTGTGTAGATGCAAAATGTTAGATGAAAAATATACGATAAACGAATTGCTCGTATACTTGCATACCTTTGAGGTAGACATAAATAACTTGAAACTTGTACAACGGTATGTGACTGTCAGCTAAGTAACACTGGTGTCCTGAAGTCCTTGTTGGGATGGTAAGACTAGTGGTTAAAGTGTCTCCCGCTGGGATATTGCTGGGATATTGCTAAAAGCGGCGTAAACATCCTCACTCACTCACTGAAAGCTAAAGGCCATCAAATATGTAAATGTGTGCACACTATTGATTCATATCTCAAATGCCGTTCAAGCGTCTTGACGGTTATATAAAAGAAATGATTCAGATTTCTCAGGCAGTTCAAATGCATCCCTACGGTTATATAAGAGAAGTGAAAAGAGTCTAAGTTGGACTGAAACACACACAGAAAAGGACATGTCAAGTAGATACCACCACAGTTTTAAGTAATTTACATCTAATTTCTCATGTAAGCTTATGACATAGATATTCAATTTTCACTCTAGTTATGGGTGTGAAAGGGTTTGCATATGATCTCAATAATAGTGTCTCTTAAGGGTATAAACTCTTCACATCGAACACCCGGCTTCGATTCCCCACATGGGTACAATGTCTGAAGCACATTTTGGGTGTTCCCCGTCGTGATATTGCTCATATTCACTCACTATAAACTCTTCCTTAAAGGCTGGTCTCAGATTCAATTTCCCCACATTTACTTCCTGAATGAATACTAATAGACACCATCAAGGACAAAATGATCATTTGAAAATGTATAACATGTGAATATATAATGAAATGCTTGCCAGATAACGTTTTACTGAGTAACTGGGTGGAAATGGACATCAGATGCTACATACCGAAGTATTATTTATGTTTTACAGTTATAGTAAAGACATTACATCTAAAAACATATTAGTATTGCTTAACGTTTGTATAGGTGTATATATACTGACCAGCAATAGAAACGCAACTCAGAATTCATGAAAATTGTACTTCTTCAGCATGAGTTTGGGTTTGATACTTTAACACAAGTATGATGTGGTGATGACAAGCATTCACCATGCAGGATGGTATTCCAAATCATTAGGGTGAAACAAGCAAGGATGGAATGCATGACACACGTGCAGAGTGTGGACGTAGGGCTACAAATGTAGGCAGTGTCGTAATGCTGCCATTTCACCGCAACATGCCACGTATAAGTGAAATGGAGGGACACCAAGCAATAGGCATGCTGAATGCTGGAGTTCGACAAGTTCGTGTAGACCCACATTTTCAGGTGCATCCTTCGACAATAACTCGTCTGCAGCAACGGGTAGTGGCAACTGGCAGCGTTTCTGATCGCCACCATTCCGGTACACCTTGTGTGACGTCACAAAGACAGGACCGGATAATCCAACTTCAGCACCTCCGGAACCGTCTGCAGGCGGCAGTAAGCACTGCTAATGCCGTGATTGGGTCTATGGGGCGCCCTATCAGCGAAAGAACTGTGCGTTGACGACTCCTAGCGGCAGGCTTACATTGCCGTCGACCTTACCGTGGACCCATCCTCACCAACAGACATCGACTGGAACGCCGCCGTTAGGTGACCATTCGAGGTCACCATGGTTAAACCAATTCTTTTATACGGCTATGAAATATGGGGTTTTGAAAACTGTAAATCTATAGAATCCTCTTAACTTTTTACGCAAATTCATTCCCGTTAAGAGAAGCACGTCATTATAATGCTATATGGAAAACTTGGAAGGGTACCCCTAAATAACTCTATCAAATGTCGCATGGTATATATCTGGGCTAGACTCCTATCTGGTAAAGAACAAAAGCTGTCAACAATTGTATACCGAATCTTATATAATGAAGCCTGCATAAACAATAGCAACAAAAAATAGATCAAATCCGTGCAAGCCGTTTTGAATGAAACAGGCTATAGCATCTGCTGGGTAAGTCAACCAGCTGTCTTTCTCAATGAAATTAAAACTATTATCTCCTTAGGCTTAGATGATATAGCAACCGAAACATGGCGCATAGAGATTTCGAATTCTTCTAAGGGTACCATGTATCGCGTATTCAAATCTGAACTTGTCTTTGAAAAATATCTCACATATATCCCTTTCTCCTTGGCTCTTAAATTTCGAGATTCAGTGTGAGTTTTGATTTCTTGAATTTCTTTTCTTTTGCTGGTCAGTATTGGTATATATCAGTTGTGGGGGTACAACGTATTCTGAAGTTACCATCCAACACCGCCCTCCCCGCTTATCTCACCCAAAGCGTTGTCCCACACTG